ATAGTAGACAGACTTTAACCAGGCACGGTGTAGGGTACACGTATTTCAGGACAAGTCATTTGGGTTGATCTTATTATTTCTTCAGGTTCTCGAACATTATTTTATCTTCTGGAATCACGCTTGACATTTTGTATCAACCCATCTGTCAACCATGCTTCCTCTGTGTCCGTCGCAGGGTTAAATTAAATGTGAATATCAGTATCCGATATCACATCTAACCTGTACATAATAAGGTTGTGTTTGAGTAACAACAAATTGTGGGATCGAAGCTACTTCATGTGTCAGACTACATTCAACATGGAGCGTACAGAGAGAGAGAGAGAGAGAGAGAGGGGGGGGGGGGGGGGGGGGGGGGGGCTAAATACGTTTAATTCACGCAGAGCTTTCTCTTGCGTAACATCTTAACGATCTCCAGCTCTCAGACAACTTATCATCTTCCATTCTACAGCTTGGTCCAGTCTGATAGGGGGACAAATTATAGATTATATTGTTTGTTTGTTGTTTGTTCAGCAATAATTCAGCTATATGACGGTGGTCTGTAAATAATCGAGTCTGGACCAGACAAGCCAACGATTGACATCATAAACATCGATACCATGACATACATCAACCAAGTCAGCGAGCCTGACCACACGAACCCGTTAGTTGCCTTTTTCGACAAGCATGGGTTGCCGTAGACCAATTCTAACCCGGATCTTCACGGGTCTCAGTTTTGTTGTTGAAAGAGAAATGGCTCGGGAAGATGGAGAGCAGCAGTTGTTGTGGACGGTTCTGTTTGTATCTTAAGCCAGATGAACTGGCAGGCCTGGCGTCATAGTCTATGCGGTCGGACGTTGAGTCTGTTATGGCAATACCGGGACATTTGAAGTCACTTCAGCCAATTCAGAGACACGAGAAACATTCGTAAAATCACACGTGTGTTGCTGCTGGCTGTAAACTGATTTCATGATCCTCATCACAGGATTGATGGGACAGGCGCGCCATACACAGCGATGTATTACTGATTTACACTATCAATATATTTCGTGTAACAAACTAACAGCTATTACCAAAGACATGTCGAATACCGAAATGCAGCCCTCTTTACGTAAACTGATTTGGTACACAATAAAAGGTTTTAATCAACTGGTGTTAGGATTGTTTCTCAATGAATCTGTATTATCCCTTTTTATATACTGAACAACCAAAGTTCCTGTGACATTGAATATGATTTAATGCAATGTTATGTTTTTTACCAAATCTTGAACAATTTCGGTTTGCAACAGATAAAAGACTCCTGTAAGTGTTTAAATGGTTTAATCAGAAAATGCGTGATTTTATTAAAAAAAACTTGAACATGCAAAAATTTCAATTTACAAATCAATAGCGTGTGTGTCCACCTCTGGTTGCATTGCAAGCAACACGTCTTCGTCTCATGGAATGGACCAGGCGTCGCACAAAGTCCTGTGTGATATCTGTCCATATCTGCATGAGCATGTTTCGAAGTTCCTGGAGTGTGGAACACGTGGTTGACGTCGAAGGCGCCGATCCATCTCATCCCACATGTGCTCGCTTGGTGAGAGATCAGGGGAGCGAGCCGGCCAGGAGACGACATTCACGTTGTTTTGTCCTGAAAATGCTCGAGCAATATGAGCCCGGGCGTTTGTCATGTTGAAAGGTAATGCCTGGGCCATGACGACGCAAAAACGGTAGAACAACAGGGCTGATGATCTCGTCGCGGTAGCGGTGTCCATTGAGATTTCCCTCTACCACTATCAAACGGGTCCTCTGTCTTGCTGTAATCCCATCCCATACAATAACGCTGTCGCCCCCGAACCGATGCTAAACAATGCATATTGAATCCCGTTAACGCACATGTTCTTATACCCATTCTTGGGTAGTGAAATGCATGGGGCTTGCATAAAAGTCACCTTTGCATGGAATGCATGCTTTTCTGTAGCAGTTGCGTTTTTGTGACTTGATTCCATACATGTATTACAATATTGAAAACCAAACTTTACTTGTTTGAGAAATACACTAAAATATTGGTGTCACAGGAACCCTGTGCAACAATTTTCTGATTGGAAGAACATTCGGGAAAGGAAAGAGGACCCTCTCAAAGATCCGGGTAAGAATAGGCCTTCAGCAACCCATGCTTGTCCCCTCGCATGAAGCCTCGGCTTAGAATAGGCCTTCAGCAACCATTGCTTGTCCCCTCGCATGAAGACTCGGATTAAAATAGGCCTTCAGCAAACCATTGCTTGTCCCCTCGCATGAAGACTCGGGTTAAAATAGGCTTTCAGCAAACCATTGCTTGTCCCCTCGCATGAAGACCTTGGTTAAAATAGGCTTTCAGCAACCTTTGCTTGTCGTAAGAGGCGACTGACAGCAACCACTGGATTGTGTACAGATCACATAGCTAGATATTGCGGCGCTAAACAACAAACACACGGAAAGAGTAGGGGGAGGGGGAAGAAAACATGGTATTTATACACATATTTTCGTTCTGGCTACGGACGAATGCACTACTTTAAATATACTAACATTTTCATCTATTGTGAGATTCGCACTGCCACATAAATTTAGGTTTCTGTCAATGTGAACGCCGTAATTACCGAATTGTGTGTACTTGTGAGAGTATTTTACCAAACACTCGCGTGAAAATGGTAGATTAATATTTCCAGATTTTTTCAAATTGTCTTTAAGATTTGGTTCAACAGTGTCATGCATCAAATAACTTAGTAACGGAGGGTTTTGTTTATGATAATATTTTATAAAATACACTCTTCAAAAAAGGAAACGCACAGGTAGTGTGTAGTTCATTGAACCTGACTACACAAAAAATCCGGTATATAAATTACACAAAAAATCCGGTATATAAATTGGATATATGATATTGAAAAATGTTGGTGTCCTGATATTCGACAAACGGTGCGTCAAAACGCAGCCATTGTCGATTTGCAATGTCTTAAACGGCATTGTTTTCACACTTGTTCAAAAATGTCATAGAGCAAAACAGTAAAGCAAATTGCACGTGCAAGTTATGGCATTCATAACTCGTGGTAGTGGCTATAAAAGGCAAGCATAAGTCAATAATTTGTCATTAAAATGTCAACATTTTTCAAGTTCGAAAATGCCGAGTCTCAGCGCTGCCGATCGGAACATAGCCATAGGACGTATCCAAAGAGGGGAATCGCAGTCTTTTGTTGTACGCCACTTCAACGTCCACCACAGCACCATTTGCCGCCTTTGTGACCGATACACTCAGTTCAATTCCACTGCAGACCGTCCGAGAACCGGTCCGGCGGACCAAGAGTTATTACCCCTGCACAGGATCGCTACATTCGACTGCTCCACCTACGTCATCGCAATGCCAGAGCTACGGTGACTGCAGGACGCATCCCTGTTTTGAGGAGGATATCGGACCAGACTGTCAGGAACCATCTTCGCGAGGCTGGAATCCGACCCAGCAGACCAGTTATCGTCCCAGTTTTGCAACAGATCCATCGACAGCGACGTTTGTGTTGGTGCCATACCTTACAGCCTTGAAATTTGAGAAACTGGAGACGAGTGTGGTTTAGCAATGATTCACGATTTCTGCTTCACCGGCGAGATTGAAGACAACGTGTTTATCGTCGTCGAAATGAGCGTTTTGCCCTACATTGTGTACGTGATTCGACAATTTCGGCGGCGTTAGTGTCGTGGTGTGGGGGGCCATATCTTACACCAGGAGATCTGACTTGGTTATGGTTCAGGGAAATGTGACAGCAAATCGTTACATGAATCAAATTTTTCAACCTCACCTTCTTCCAATTATTGAGTGCGCCGTTAAACAACAAACAAACATTCTAAACAAGAGAGTCGATTTGGTAAATTGTTTTGTACTTGTATAGACATTGATCTTTGCTTTCATAAAGCCTTGGATCTGTTGACTAGGAATGTTAGTACAGAATGGAAAGTTCTTCAACGTGAATAAGAACACATATTGCGATATCAAAGCAACAGCGGAGTGCAGAAAAAACATACCCGACATTTCGAAAGTACATGTGTCAGACAAGGATGTTCTCTGAGAGCAATTCTTTTTTTCATTGTTTATTAACGAGTTGTCTTACTACCTAATTATAACGTTTGAAGGTGGCATATCAGGGGACATAACTGCATTCTTCTTTGCTGATAATCTTATCCTAGATCGGATACAGTGACCGAACAACCTGCGTGATATACAAAAGAGGGACTCTGACAGTACACCCAACTTCAAAGGAACAGTTGTGGCTCTAGATATGGTGGAGGCTGAATGTGAGTGATGTTTCTGAGGTTTTGTGGAAGCTCGTTTTTGTATTACATTTCCATAATCATAAGACATATCTACTAAAAGCAGAGTATATTGTGCGATTCCGATTGTATTCACCTTAAACAATACAAGAAAACAATGGGACAACTCAAAATAAGGAACTGCATCAGACTCTCTCTCTCTCTCTCTCTCTCTCTATCTCTCTCTCTCTCTCTCTCTCTCAGTAACAACTTGAATGTTCATGTCCATTGTGAAACAACCCAGTACTTCCCACTACAGATATAACAGAAGTCTCTTTGAACTGCAGCCAGTTCAATAGATAGTACACAAAGTCTTTACGATCACAGATCACGACATCGCCAATATCTAAAAAAAATACATTGACGGCAGTCCTGTTCTCTTTGAACCAAAGTCCAACACTCATGTCCCCAAACTCCTCCCAGAAGGGCGTTCACACATTTTGTCAACTACTTCAATAACTAGGGATGACCCTCTATGTTGTAGGAAGTTCTAATCACTACGTCAAATATTGTGGGGCCAAGCGAAGAGCACTAAGCCACTATGTACACGAACAACTGATTCTAAAAATCTTTTCATGCGTTTGCACAAAAGCCCTTGTAATTTGGTCTCCGCATGGAGTAGGTATAGGTCATGTATACGCTCTGTCGCCAAGGACCGGCATATTGCCCGAATAATGCTTTGAGACAGTCATATGTTGATAGATGTAGTGTAGTGTCCCGTGGATGATCGACTATAGATTATTGATCGGCGGTGTGAGGATAGCGTTGGGCATGCAATGTACAAGCGACGTGAGTAACAGACTCACGTTGCGCTAAGCCTTTCTGGTGGATATCAGGGTCACACAGTTTTTGTGACGGCATAAATATGAATACATATTTTGTAACACCCTTAATCACAATAGGATAGACTGGTTAATCGGATTGTGTACGAGACCGCGGCGTTATGACACAACAGAGCGCGGAGCCCGCTGTGAGGGTGGCAGCTAATGTGGGCAAGGCGACGATTGTTCTTCCACCTGTTAGAAACAGACTTGGCTCCAAAGGGTTCGGAACCAAGATGGTGTCGAGAACAAGTGCTCAATCTTTGATCTACCGCAGCGTTCCTCCTCGACCCCTCAGCTACACGTTCACGGACATTCTGGAGACATACCCCTCCCAGGGGAAATCTAGATCCAAGACCGCGCCAGTTTCTACCAACGCTCCAGAGGAATATGCCCAGCGGTTTAAATCCAGACCCACGACTCGTCCTAAAGTTGTGGAGTTCGATGGCAATAGTTTCAACTTGAGTGTTAAGAAGAGGGGTGTGCCTGGTTTTCTCCCGTCCGTCAAACTGCGAGTGCTTCCCCCGGGGCAACCGCGTGCGAGGACTGTTGAGGTGAGAATAGATAGTCACTCGTCATTCATATCGGTGTCCCCCCGGACGATGTAAGTCTGGGGTTCATGTGCATAATTGCTGTACTGTTTCGATTGTTATCTGTTGTACAAAAGGTCCGCCTGCCCTTTCATTGTCACACAAAGTCAAGTGTTAGAACATGATAGTTAGTGCATGCTAATGACTACACTGGACGGTGGGGTAGCCTAGTGGTTAAAGTGTTCGCTCGTCACGACAAAGAAGCGGGTTCAATGTGTGAAGTCCCCGCCATGATATTATTTAATATTGCTAAAGGCGGCGTAAAACAAGACATACTCACTCACTAACAACTTCAGTGCAAGTCCTTCGCTTGCTCTCAGTTGATTCAAGAAGTAAGAACTATAAGATGTTGCGAAGCCTAATCATATTGTGTCTTTAAATGACAGACACAAAACCCAAAATGACTCATTAAAAGGAATGAAAACTGAAGAAAAAACTGATTGCAATTGTGTTGCGGATATAAATTTTTCTATATACATTTAGTCAATTTCCGAGATAAAATGTAATATTCGTAGAAGTTCTGCCTATCTTAGCAAAAAATCCGTTTCGTTGTACGTCTATTATAGTGGACTATTGTGTTGGTGTAAGACGTGGCAGTTCTACAATAATGTCAATAACTTGTATACCGGTATAAGATTGCCAGTAACTAGCTTCAAACAACACGTTTAAGTAAATAACAGTACGTATTTTTTCAAATGGATAGTAAATAAAGGTTTAGTTCAAGGGATTACGCACCGCACGCTTTAAGCCCTATACAGAAGTGTACATGTTTGCTTGGTATCTTAAAACAGGATAAAGACGTTTAACAGCTCACACGTGTAATATACACGTTAAAAGGGACACACCAAGTCATCGAGTGCAATGGAAACTGACCTAGTATGGAAATCCTTCAAGACTTAATTTAGTCTAAAATCAATGTTTTGTAAGTTCGTGTTTGAATATGATTGTTATATGGATACTGTCATATGTCTGTACGTTTGGCGTACAGAACAAGTACAGTCAGTTCAGAGACTAATTCATGCAGTCAATGTTTATCAACAGTTGGATATAGTTTTCCAGTGTACACTTTTCGTATAGCAAAACTTCGACCATTTACAAACGTGAGATTACATATGCATGTACTTCAACTACACACAAAGGTGTATGTATATATACTTCCACTATACTTCAATGTCATATTGCATATACTTCCACCATACACAAAGGTTATACTGAATATACTTCCTTTATACACAAGGGTCATATTGCAAATACTTGCACTATACACAAAGGTCATACTGCATATATGTTCTCTATACACAAAGGTCATATTGCATATAATTCCTTCACACACCTAAAGGTCATTTTGCATATACTTCCACAATGCACAAAGGTCATACTGCATGTACTTCCTTTTTACACAAAGGTCATATTGCAAATACTTGCACTATACATAAAGGTTATAATGTATATATTTTCTCTATGAACAAAGGTCATATTGCATATATTTAATCAATACTTAAAGATCATATAACATAAACTACCTTCACACAAAGGTCATATTCCATATACTTCCTTTATACATATGTCATATGACATATACTTCCACTAGCTAAAAAGGTCATATTGCATATACTTCTGCTATACACAAAGGTCGTAATGCATTTTTGTTTCATGACACAGACAGGTCATATTCCTTACATCCCCACGATACACAAGTGAGTGAGTGAGTGAGTTACACAAAGAGAGGTGAGGTGCAATGGGCATGTGTTTATGAATCACTATCAAATAGTGATGACACCAGGTGTTCGCGTATACCGACTCCGAGCCGACCAATCCTTGTTTTAGCCCCTTAATGAGGAGCACCAGACAGGGGTTCGATTCCCGACATGGGTACAATGTGTGAAGCCCATTACTGTTGTTGTATGGAATAAAATTTAAGGCTGTACGCAGTCATTTTTTCAACAACCGCAGCTGTTAAGCATGGTTTTTCGAACCATGTCACAATTCCAACTGACCGCAGACAGAAGGAAAAATGTCACAATTTTCACATTACTACAAATCATCATTCAAACAGTTTGGCTGACATTGACAACATATTGTGGTTGACCGACTGTCTTGACTGTTCAAACTTGACTGACAGACCGACTGTCATAACGTTCACTGGTTTACAAAGTTGGCTTTGACTGAAAGACTGAGACTGGTACATTGACTGGTACAAGCTGTAATAAAATAAACAATGCCTAATGAGTATAAAATTCAAACCAAGTAAATTAATCTTCAAAAGAAATAACACACGAATGTGAAAATAGCATGAAAATACCATATTGTTACAGCATAATGCAGGCAGCATTGTTTCCATAATATAGATATTATTGTTGGATTTTCCGGATTTTAAGCAGCGAAATCTTTCGCCGATAAAATATACAAAATTTACCTTTTTACAACGTGTAAACTGCAGAATAATATGTATTGGCTACAAACAAAGCATTCTCCGTTCATACTCACAAAAATTTGGTGCCTCAAATCCCCACAAAAGTCAAAGTCGCAGCCGCAGCTATCAACTTCCAAACAAAATGTGGTTTCCAAAAAAGTGGCCAAAATCCTAAACAGCAGAAACCAAAACCGAGAAATTGAAACTTGGTGAAAAGTCTGGCACAAACCCAAACCCGGTAAATTCAAGCTTGGTACAACAGCCTTGAAGTACAAAAACTGTTTCAATTCCCAACAACTGTTGTCCCCCGACGTGATATTGCTGGAATATTGCTGAAAGCGGCGTAAAACCATACTCACTCAAAAGGAAACGAGAAAACAGCGCCAAAATTTAGCTGGTTCGTACTAAATCAATCGTGTCAAACCTGTCTAAGATTCCATGACGCTGATGTCTGGCGGGATTTGTCCAATAAGCATGTTCAGGTTTTAAAACACCATTATGACTGTAACATCTCAGTGTTGACCTGTAGAGGACGTCTTTGTGCTGTTAGCTGACATCAATCATGTGAGAAGAATCAGTGACACCCTATTGGTGTATATTGTGCTCGGATTCTATGCGCTCACTGCTGATGATGAAGCGGGAAAGACAGACGTTGAAAGGGCCAATTTACACGTCGGATATTAAAGAATGGGGTTTCTAGGCTGTAGAAATTATATCAATCACTGTGTGTGTGGCTGTATAGAGGAATATGAGGCCCATTTCACCGACATAGCACGTGGGGTCAAAACCTCGACACTGTCCTCAGTCGTGTTGAATGGCTGTATTATTCAGTGGTGTTGTTTTATGTGAGGAGGGGCAAATTATTTATGGTATTTTGTGGACATGGAAAACGAGAGTCACACATATTTGAATAGTGCTGATAAACCTTGAAAATAATCGGGGCAAACCGGCATTCGAACCCACGACCATAGGATTCTGGTGTAGCCAAGGGACGTAACTGTGCAGAGCGAATTGTGGCGACTTTGGCGACATAAGAAGAAACATGAATAGGGTGAATATAGGATTCGAACCAACGATCACAGGATTCTGGCACGTCTAAGGGACGGAATTGCGGTGTCTTAGACGTTGGCAACCCGTGTCCCGGAACTAGTTTTGATTACAAGGCCTTAGAGACATTCATTCTTGTCGACATCTCAATAACCATTTCAAGACAACCGGAGTGCCGATATTTGAGATTAAATATATTTTCCATTTTGAAATATATATAACATGAAATATGTCTTGTGTCTGTACGCCAAACATAGCATTACAAATCATCAAAGGATTGCTTTGAGGTGTATTAAAAATACATTTACATGTTCATATGTTATTCAAACATCTTATAGAAAAAGTTTGTCAGTACTTTTGTTTAGGTGTGGTGTGCAGTTCCGATGCACCATCTCCAAATAAGGCGCATGGTTTCATTCACTGTTTCTTCATTCATATTAAGTTATATATTATATTTAACAACTCAATAATTGATTGATGTTTTCAGTACAATAATCAGTTATAACAGTTCTATCCTATTTCTGAGTGTCCAGCTGTTGATATTTTCCTATCGAAACAACCAACCGATAACATGTACCAGAGAGTGTAGAGTACAGACCATCTTTACACAAACACTCATTCATTAGTATAACATGGGCCAGCGACAAAATGCCTTATTGTATATGGAACAAAGTATTAGGTCAGCCCGATCAGAATCCAATAAACACATCTGGAAACCATGACAACCATTGGTACAATAGTAATGAATAAATAGTAAGTTTGCGACACACCAATAATCCAATATTTTAAGTGTGAGTATACGAATTCAATAACGCAAAGAATAAAATTTATATACAATATCGTATCGTTACAATCTGTTTTTAGACAATATACAATCATGAACTGAATTATGACTTTGAAGGCTATCAAAAGGACAAAAATCTATATATCTTGAATTCTTGTCTGGCAATGTACTGGAATCATCCTGTCTGTCTGTTCTGCGAGCACCTGGTCTCATCACTATAGTTGTTATTTTCCAATACATATAAGATCCACCGTTATTTTGTCTTTTACGCCCAATGGAATCTATTTCGGTGCATAATCAATTCAATTCTGCATAATCGAGACTGGCTGTTCTCTGGACGTTAGTTCATCCAAGATCATCCACATTCCTCATTGTGTTAACTGTTTGATGAGGTCAAGCGTTTACTTTCTCCACAACCTCGAGTGCTGGCAATTCAAGTTAAGTTAAGTGGCCCCAGAGGGGGTGTTTTATCAGCATACACCGAGTCTAAGACACTGTCAGTGTCCGGACTTTGTACCAAAGTGTCCACCCTCGTGTTTCGTGTGCTGTAGAAGACAGGGCATACGTGGGTGGTTATGTTGTGCTTGACTTTTCTGTTCCCGGGGATTACTCCTGATTCGGTGACAGTCTACTGGCTTAAGATAACACAGACAAACACACAGTGAAAAAACATCGTTATTTATGTGCATGTGTTTATGTCACAGGTGGGACTGTTCCCAT